CATAAAGCCCATATTATGTTTTCAACATGTTCACCTTTTAAGAAAAGAAGGATTGCCAGCAAAGTGTGGATTTAAAAGGGCCACTGACTTTCCTCACATTTCCCAGTAGGATAAACCACAAAAAAAAGAAAGAAAAGATACTATTAAAGGCTGCAATTATTTGGTTTTGCAAGACATAGAAAATCTTACATGCTGTTCAGCAAGTGCTAGTTTAGATTCTTAGTCATCAAAGACATTGCAGTCATACGTGGTTAAACAGAACATTATTAGACCTCTTTGCTTATTACTTGAAGACATTTCACCTCTCATCCAAAAGGCTTCTTCAGTTCTGAACATGTCTTTAAGCAAAAGTACTCATATGGAAAGGCAACATTAAAAATATACAATTAAGTGAGATGAGGTCTATCCAGGTCTTTAAGACTGCCATTAACTTGCATCTGCATTTTTAAGATGCAGCTGGGAGGCAAAATCTAAACAAAGCAGTTGATTCCTGTTGTATTTTTCTCTCTTTTTTTGTGTACACCGCCAAGTCAAATCCGGTGTCATGTCAGAGCACTTTACAACGCAAACAGGTCAATTCATATCCATACATAGAATCCAATTTAGTCCTTATATAATAAATTTTTTTTTTCTGATACAATAAAATTATAAAGTAATATTCATGTTTGTCCTGTTAAACAACACAATCAAATTTAGCTTGTGTAACATCAAGTGGCCTGTCTAAAGAAGTCCAGCTGATTGCAATGATTCATTGACTTTTTAGAGATTCCTTATACTATCCCTTGCACAAAAGCACTGAGCCAGGAAGTTAATGGCAGAAGTTGCTCTTTCAATAACATTATCCGGGAAAGAAGCACAGACAAGTACTGAACCAGTTGTACTTCTTATGAAAAAAAAAACATGGATGGAATAGTTAATTGTGGCAATGACTTGGTCAAACGTTTTATCCAGAAGTAAGACATGATTAACAAAAGCACCGGCCCCTGATTAGTTTGCATCAGTAAGACAAATAAAGAGAACAAATTTTATAAAATAATTCTATCAGTGATTATGTGGAAAAAAAAGAAACAGCTCACTTCAGAATGACTGAGCTGGGAGTCTAGCAATGACAATTAAAGAGAGGACACAGTTAATGGCAGTAATGTTCGTGCCAGTGACTCCATCCAGGAAAAAGACACAGCTAAACTCAGAAGCAGTAAACCAGGTGTACTTTCTATGGAAAAGAGAAAAACCTTAAATGCACATAATTTATGGCAGCAATAGCTCTCTCAACGTCTTCCATACAGGAAAGACTTAAAACAAAACACAGAAGCAGTGTGCCAATCACACCTTCTATAAAAAAAAGCACAATTAGCGAGAGAGCACAAAGTTAATAATGGCATTGCAACAATTATTTATTAAGGATTATATAGACCTCATTTTCTGAATAGCTGATTTGGGTTGAAAGGAAACAAACTGTTTCACTTCTGTATATATCTATATTATTATTACGGATTTCTTTTACCCATAGAGAGATCATACATTTCTTGTTCAAAATCAATTTGCTGACAAAATCACTTTTTTTGTGTTTATAATAGCAAAAAAACAAAAACAAGCTATTTAACCTGCTTCATTCCATTTAACTTTTTAATATACTTTATTAGAAAATATATGAGGGAAAAACAATGTAATAAAGCTCAGTATTGCTATATTAATGTTTATGGTGCTGTAAAGCAAAAGGATTTTCCCCTTTTATGTTTTGCGTGGGACATTTTTGCCCAACGTCTTTCATATTGTTAAATTGTGAATACTGGCATGAACTGATAAGGCACTGGGACATGCAGTGCTTTAAGTGTTGTTCTGTGATCTTTCAAGACTCATTGATGCACTCTGGAAGTCGTTTTGGTAAATTGCATTAGGGTTCAGAACTTTCCCTCTATTTCTTCCTTTTGAACGATGACTGTGGTTCCACAGTCATCCGCAATCTCAGTAAATTACTTTGTAACCCCTTTGAGGCACATCAATTACAATAGATATGTTTCTCATCTGTTCTTGAACTTGTAGATATCATGGCATCATGTTGTTTTGAGATGTTTTAGCATGCTTCATGTTGTCATACTGACTACATGCCTGACTATTGGATCAGACAGTACTCATTCTAGACTGTGACTATTGAAGCATTTATGTAGGCTCATGTGTGTTGGGTGAAGAGCTAGGTTAGTTATCTTAAGTAAAATCATCATTTGAAAACTTCACTGATTCAGTTGAGCAGGCAAAATTGTAAGATAGTAAGCAACACAGATCAACAGCTTCGTTTGTATTTACTCTGCTTATATGATTTTAAAATGTGGTTGAGAATTTCAAACATAAGTAAGTCTTCTGTAAATGGGGTAAATACCTTTTTATATGGAATTTTATTGCTTTCATTTGTGTTCCTTTGTAAATAAATTAACAGTTTGAACGTATTCGACCAGCACCTTATAAAGATACAAGTTAAACACTAACAGCGAAGCTAAATAGGTTAAAAGGTTGGTTTAAAGCTCAAATACAAGGGAAATTAGAAAATCCTCACTGAAATTCCTAAGTAACAATATAATCTTGCACCTTAGAACTTAGAGATATTCAAAATTAATCAACACATTATCAAAATCATAGTTCACCTCGTTATGTTAATTATTAAAGTATGAATGATAAACGATTAAATGGAAGCTTACTTTCTTGCTGTTCAAGTGGACAACTTTTCTTTGCTCCTATTGGTTTGAATTTATGGACAGTTGGCTTGACCAATCATTCTCTCCTCTGGCTAAAGCTTTCGTCCAATCAACGTGGAAATATGCAAATTACGAAAGAGTTGCCACAGTTTACAGTGACAGCATTGGAGCTATTTACATGTTTCATTTTCACTTTTATCCAAACGACTTTGTGGCTGTGATAGCTTGGACTCGTCGGGAAGAAATGTATCCGCTGCAACGCACAGAAAGCTAAAGCTTGTAGTATGTTAATGACGTGAAGTTACCTTTTGCCGGTAGTTAAGCCTTGAAGCTAACCGCTAACAGCTAGCTAGACGTTGTCACCGGTACAGGCGGACCTCTTTGTCTGACAGGGGAAGGCGTGCTCTTTTGTTAGCTTTTTCCCCTTTGTCCGTTCGGGATAGAGGAACTGACGGGTCAGGATTTCATAGGCACCCGTATTTTGGGAGTATTTAGAAAATGCAGGTCGCGAAAAAATACTTTACAGAAGGCCTGATTCACTTGACTATCTTGCTCAGTTTGGTTGGAGTTCGAGTAGACATCGACAGCTACCTTACCGGCTACTATCCGCCACTCACTGAGATTAACTTGGGTCCAAGCTCAGCCTACATCCAGACACCCTTTCACGTTTTGAGAGACACACTTGACGGATACGGAGTGCATCCAAAATGCCCTGAGCTGGACTACTTCTTCGCCAGTCGTCGTCTGCTGGATGAGGTGAGGAACCTCGGCTCACCGCGGTTCCACACGCAGCTGAACGCGTGGCTGGTGCACCAAGTTTCCTCCACAGGGCCTTCCACCAGCGGCAACCCTGACGCCAGCGTAGGGTTAGAAAGCACTGAGAATGAACCTGCAGACGCCGGTGAGCACCGGCCTGTCAGAGACCAAGAAGTGCACTGCCAGTCCAACTCTGAGCTGGGACAGGGGCCTTGTGGTGCTGGAGCCTTCCTGAATGTAAGTAATGTCTTCTTACGTTGGGGGGAAATGATTTGTTATTAATCAACAACATGTTTGGGATAGGCTGGCTAACTGACAACAAACAAAGGGATCAACAAGGACTTAAAAACTTATGCCGTGACTAACCAGTGCCTCAGAAAGGGGGAATATCCACCCATGTAGTGAATTATGTTTCCTTGTAAACCAGGAAGGAAACAACAGAATGTGATAAATCGTTGGCATAAGGAACAAAGTACATTCCTTTTCATTTGTTGGAGGCCCTTCCAAACCTAAAGTGCTTTTCTGGAGTACACATACTGTTATCATTTGTGTGAAAGTCAAGAACTTGGGGTTTGTAGAGGAAATCAAGGATTGGGTTTGTATTTAAGTTTGAATTTCTCAAAAAGAAAGCATGCAATCTCACATAATATTTGGACATGCCCTTTAGAAAGTTGCTGATGAGCCAGGCATGTCTTGTAGCGTCAAAACAATGTCAGCTCCACTCCAGAAGCTTAATCCATCCATTTCATAACCAGTTTCAGTGTACGTTTCAGATTGTTATGACTATCCAGTAGTCTCCAAGTCCAACCATCTGAACCAAACTATTTCAGATGTTTGGGAGCAACCAGAAAACAACCAAGATTTAAACCTTTCGTAGACTAGAATATGCTGGAGCACTGTTGTATTTATCCACAATGAAATTAAACTCGAGAACACAGCATCAATTGTCAAGCATGGTAGTGGTAGCGACATGATTAGAGTATTTTCTGGTCCTGATGCATAGCTTAAAAGAGGATTTGGTAAGAGAGAGAAGGACGACCTCTGAATTCTTCAACTTGACTTCAAACCAACAGATAAATAGTTGAAACATTGACACAACTGAATGTAGAGTGATTCCTGAAAAACATGCTGCTTTTGGAGTGGGTGCGGCAAGATTATATTAAGCTTCTGGAAAGACCTGACCTTAACCCTGAAAAAGGTGGCTACGCACATTGAAACAGGCCAATTCAAAAACAATTCTGCTGCCTTTGCTGAGAAGAGTGGGCAAATATTGGCCAGAATTAGGCAGAGTTTGCTGCAAGTTGCTAACTTGTTAAACACATTAAACCAAATACAAGTGATGGTGCATGAATTTTTATATTTGAGATGGTTTGTATAATTTTTTACCTTGTGTTAGCCAGAGAAGATGCAGCATATATTCGGACATGAGAACCTTTTAATTCTTGTTTTTAAATTTTACTTCGCTCCGTCATGGAAAGATGACAAGTTCATGTGCTTCATCAAAAGTCCGATATTTCTGATATCCATGCTGATGAGTATTTAATTTTAGTTAAATACTAAAATTTAACTACATTTTAGTTGGCAATCACTAGATCTAGTTATGCAACCACTAGATCTTTCTTGGCAATGCAACTAGTCTAGTTAGTATCTCCTTCAAGGAGATAACATGACAGGCATCAAAAGTGTGCAGCAAGCGTTAGACTGCTCCTGTCAGTTCTCACTCGGTGTTTTCTTATTTTTAGTTTCCTCATTCATCATTCTGGGTTTCTGTTTGAGCGCTATATTATACGAAAATAAAAGAAAAGCACTGAACATTCTCTTTGTAGTCTTCCTGCTGTTAGCACACATCAATCATTTATATTAAAAGCAGAGGCGACGTCACACTGTGTGAATGGCAGTATTAGTATAATGGCAGTATTAGTATCAGATATTGATGTCTGCCCAAACGTTCACATCGGTGCTGGTCGTAAAGAATGTTGCTCTTTACTTTGGAGAATTTCAGAAGGCAGCCAACATTTCCCAATCCATCATGTTCCATGATCAACTTTTCTATACCCCAGACGCCATCTTGTTTTCTACTAATGGTCTTGGTCTCTGGCATCATCAACATCGAGACATCTTCACTCGATTACAAACTCCTCTCTGAAGAGTGTAGTTGCCTTTCTGACTTGTTGGTTCTTAATGTGGTGGAACATTTTTTTTTTTTAAAAAAGGATCCGATTTTTGCGTTTCCAAACAGCTAATCAGAGCCAACCATCTGATTTCTTTAGTGCATCTCATTGATTTTGTTCTTTTTGTTACGCAGATGAAACGCTCAACCCTCATGTTTAATTCCTCCCCCCATTAATGGCGCTTTTCTAGCCCTTTCTAGTAGAAACAGCTGCTCGGTGTAGGTTATGTTCTGGTAACAGTTGATACAAATCGTGTAACGGTATCGCCTTTCTTCAGACTCACCCACCAGCTGTGGACCTGGAGAGGTGAAGGAGTGAGGATCAGATCCACACCCTGTTTGCTTACAACAGCAGCGATCTACTCTTGAACGTTGTCCCTCCCATAGTGTTCCTTTGGAACTGCCAAATGCGATGTTGATGTTTTTATTTATTTATTTATTTATTTATTTTTTACCTCCTAAGCTTTTTAAATTGGCTTTTGCTCTGTGCTGTCTAAAGAAGAAAGCTTCAGCTGTGATTTTCAAAGATTCCAGTCGGCAAGTGTCACAAAGCTGTTTGAAGCTGAAGAAGTGACCAAGTAAGGAGTCAGCAAGTTCAGGCAGAGCAGAAATGGGCTGCTTTCGTTTTGCTGTTAGCAAGGACGCAGAAAGTTAAGAAGTAATCATTATCCTTTTACATCCAATCCCACTGCACATGGAAAACAACTGTAGTGTGTGTGCGTGTGTGTGTGTGTATGTGTGTGACAGCTGGTAACCCACATCACTGGGAGCGTATCATGTCACTGCTGCCCTAACTTTTACAACTGCCTATTAAAACAGACCTTGACACTGTTAGAACTGAAGTGTTGCATAACACAAGAACCGCGTTCTGCTATGGCTAAAACGGGATCAGGGAACCTGAAAATGCTGTGACCTCTGGCGGCTTACTGGGTCGCAGCAAACAAGGTGTTTGCATATCTCTTTTCAAACAAGAAGTTCAAAGTTTACAAATTACTCACTGCTAATCTCTCTATATTTATTCTCCCTACCAGGAGGATGAAGTTAAGATTAAAGAAGAGGAGGAAGCAGTTCCACTCACTCACCTGGCTCACAGTTCAACACTAGAACAAGAGGTATGACGGTCCCTTTGTGATTTTTGATGCCCTTTTTTAATCCTTTGAGCATATACCTTACAGTTCTTGCCATAGTTTAAGTTCCTCCAGGTCAGTACCATCCTATGTTGGATGTACTTGTGTAAAAGACGTCATATGGCAGTAATTTTTGAACAGATGTACTAATTTTGTACAGCATATTTAAGCAGAACCTGTGTCGCACTAAAGTCCTGCAAAAAGTAAGGTAAAGTAACACAAAAGGCGAATAACTCTTATAAAACAGGCATCACAATTAATAGGTTCATTTCACAGAAAACCAGTAACAAAACTATATTTCGAGAGCACATGTCTTGCGGTTTCCTCTGTTTCGCTTCATCGCCCACAGAGTTCACCCAGTTGTTCCAGTTTCTTTTAGTCTTCCAAACTTCTATTTTACCGTGATTCATAAACAGAAGCTTCTAGTTCATGTAAAACTTAGCAAATGAGCCTCTCCCATTTTTTCCTAATAGCACTGATTATGTTCACGTGGTTACGTAACATAGGTGTGGGAGTCTTTCAGTTAGGAAAATGGGTCAGATTTAGCCGCTGTTCCTGTGCTTCCTGCCTGACTCATCTGCTTTGAGGAGACTCTGCTCACTTCCCGTTGAAACGGTACTGGACGTGTTGTCTAAGGCTCCTCTGAAACCCGCTGCAGGGCCCATGACGAAGTCGGCAAGCAGCTCTAGAACAGACTTTGCGAGCAAATGCGTACGCATCTACAGGAAAATCATTAACGTCTTGTTAAAGGGTTTTTACTTTAACCGAGAGTGAAATGTAATGAGTCGGGGGGGGGGAGGGGGGGGATACATTAGCACAAAAGCACTACTAAAAACAATTTTCAGTAATTATATGTAATTATATTGCACCACCATGGTTTCCTTGGTAAAGATATGTAATTAAATTTTAAAGCCCACATTTTTTTTTATTTCAATTTTCAGTCTACAAAATCTCAAATATATTTATAAACTGAGGATATTCTGTCAAAGTGTCAAGGAAAAGCTGACAAGCATGACTTTCTTTTTTTTCCTGATGTATAATCTTATGATCTAAATGGACATAGGTGACTCTTTATAAGGTCATAAATAAGAGGAAAGAAGACGAAGGCTGATCTGAAAAAGTCGGGAAAGTGCTACCTGAAATGGCTGCTAGCCTAAACTCGCCCTCCAGTAAAGACAATAATTAAAATGTTCAAAACAAGTGGGAGTGTGACAAACAAGGGTGGAAGAGGACCCACGTTAATCTTTCTTTCACGCACAGAGAACAATATAGTGGGAGAGAAACTAAATAAAAAATATCCAACTGTTTCCTTATCACATATTTGATTCTATCCACACACCAGCAACTGCTTTCAGAGGCAGAGGAGGGACAATGGTTTTCTGCACTTTTGTCAAAAAAATGTAAATGTGTCGAAGTTGATAAATCCTACTTGAGTGTTTAACTGGAACAGGGCGGTTTGGTCAGATAACGCCACGATTAAGCCTTTCTGCAACGAACACACCCGTTGGTACTGGGTCAAACAAAAGGTGAATGTGATGCTGTGGGCACTGTTCTCCTCCAAAAGCCCTCACTCAGTATGCCTACTTCTTGTGACATGTTATGGAAGAAGAGCAACTAGCTTCCTGTTGGCAAAAAGTGCCATAATTGCTCATCCAGACAGCAGTTGTTGTTTCAAAACCTTTAATATTGAGAAAAATGTAAGATTCTCTCAAAAAATATTTGTATTCAAAGGGATTTTACGGCATTGAAATTTACCTCATTTGTGAAATTTGGTGTTTGTTTAGTCTTTCATGTCTGTTTTCCTTTTTTTCTTTCAGAGTTTGTTTGAAGGCATCACTACGCTGCCTGATCCGGTGCTTCAACATGTTCCTCCAGCTGCTGATATCGACTGGAACAATTTGCTTTCTGTTGCAGATCTTGATGTGAGTTTTCGCAAAATACCAGTGCAAAACACAAGAGTTTGGTGTTTAAGTTGATCTGTATACTGTGGAAAGGAGTTTTAAGACTGAACAAGATTCCCGTGCAGTCCAGAAGCGAATGGAATTTGAATTGTGTATTTTTTTTCCAGATCTTGGTGTTTAGGGAAAAAAAAACAATTATATTTCCAGTGTTTTCCCCGTCGCTTCGTCTCAATCTCTCCATCCATCTTGGCATTCATTCATTCCTCTGTTTTCCATCCATTTGTTCTATTTTGATTCGTTTTGTTTGACCTGAAAAGACGCAGGAACGCTGTGTAAACAACGTTGCTCTTTCAAAACGCAGGACCTGGACTCTCTTGTCACCGATCGTCTCTCGGAGCTCGACTCGGACATCAGCAGCGCCATCAGCCAGGACGTCAGCTTGCATGATGCCATGGTGACCAGCGCCGGGGCGTTTGGAGCGACGGAGTCCCGGACGGTCAGCCAGCGGGAAAGAAACCTCCTGCGGCTGGAGTCCACAAACTCCTCGCTCTCTGACTCTTTGCCGGGCATGGCTGTGGGCCTCGCTGCGCTGCCCTTTGCCTCGGTGTGCAACTTAACGGGAAATCTGACATCGCAGAGCGCGCTCGGCAGCTGCTTAGATGAGGCTGTGTTTGAACAAATCAATCAGCTGGGTTTGGGCCTGGAGGCAATAGACAATCAGCTGAACTACCTTGAGTGCTTAGACTCTCGAGCGTTCGAGGACTTGGACTCCGATTCAGGACTCTCCTTGGAAAGCAGCTATGGATGTCCCGTCTCCCCTGGTTAGTAAAAATCTTTTTAGGTTACTAATATATTGCTAATGTTTGTACCAACTGTTATTTTATCCTCTGTCTTTCAGGTTCATCTGAGATGTCATCAGCGACCAGCTCGTACTATGAAGAAGAGGGCGGAGCAACCGGCTACAGCAGCGAGGTGGACTCCAAACCCCCTAAAGGCATCCTGGACCACCGCGCCATGTGGCCGCCTGTTGATCTGAGTGAGAGTGTGTGGCACGACCACAGCTACTCATCTCCCCCTCTCCTCAGCATGCCGCCCCTAAGGCTGCCATGTAAAACCGAGGAGCCAGAGGAGGACGGCAGGTCCCAGCTGGAGGAACAGGAGCTGAGCCGCGACGAACTGCGCGCCCGCGCCATGTGCATCCCCTTCTCCGTCCTGCAGATCGTCAACATGCCCGTGGAGGAGTTCATGGAGGTGCTGGACAGCCACAGCTTCTCCGCCGATCAGGTGACGCTCCTGAGGGACATCCGCAGGCGCGGGAAGAACAAGCTGGCGGCGCAAAACTGCCGCAAGCGTAAGCTGGACGCCATCACGGGGCTCCAGGAGGAAGTGGAGAGGCTGCAGGCCCAGAGAGACCGACTGCTGAGGGAAAAGCGGCTCACGGCCAAGACCATGGGCGCTGTGGCCCACCAGTTCAAGCAGCTGACCCGGGACGTCCTCTCTCGGGTGAGGGACGCGTCGGGGCGGCCCCTGAACCCCGAGAGGTTTACCCTGCAGTGCGGCGCTAACGGGAGGGTCGTAGTTCAGCCCATCAGACAGCCCACTGTCGCCACATCAGCTGGCAAAAAAACAGACAAGAGAAAGAAGGAGAAGAAGCAGTGAGATTGCTCGCTGAGACTCGAGCTTTAGGGGTTCTTTTTGGATATTGCTGAACTTTACTAAACCTGGCTTTGGGGTTTTACTTTTGTAAAGATTGCATTGGAAGCCTAAATTTTCACAAGCTGCAAAAACAAGAGAGACTCGGAGCATAAATTAATTAAAAAAAAATAGAAAAATCTGTACATATGGGAAAAAAAAGTAGCTTACACACTGGACTTTTGTTTGCTTGTTAAAGATGGGCAAAGCAGGGTTTAAGGGAACAGCTTAGCTGCTGGAAACGGCATCAATCTCTCTGTGCCTGTTAAGATATGAACTCGGACACTCTTCGCTAAGTGTGGCAGATTCTGGTTAGAGCTCTAAGATGAGGGTTGTTCTGTTTGTTTGCCTTGTACTTTGCCTATTTAGTATAAATAGGAGGGTAAAAGATTGTATTTATAAATGGCTTGAGGTTCTTGAACTTGAAGTTCTTATATGCGTCATGAGACTTTTTTTATATATATATATATAACTTAAAATGTAACTGATAAGAAAATTAAAATTCCACCAAATGTTTACAGCCAACATTTCAGAGATCAGGGGGTAGGTAAGGTTAACCTTTTGAACTGAAATGGAAAAAAAAAGAATAAAGTTCATTCTTTTCTACAATCTTTTTAATTACATAAAGCAAACCAATGATTAAAGAGGCCTTAATTTGCTTTTAAGAAAGTGTGATTTTTTTTTCTCGTTATGTTGGGTGTAAACATGTTTTCAGAGTTTTAAAGGTTACTAGAACAAATACAACTTCTACATCAGTTGGAGAAGAGCACACATAGGTTTGACCTTTTCAATTGTAACAATTTAAGTACTGGCATAAAAATACTCAACTTCATCTCTAAAAATCCATATCAATGTTGCTACAAGGTAAAAGAAAGTCTAAAAATGTCAACATCAACTTTTGGTTTTGGTTGCTTTGACACATTTTACATATTACAGAAATAGTTGCTGGGGAATGCACTGATTAACATCCTGTGGAGGACTTTTAGATCTTTATTTGGACCTGCTGATACCAAATGCAGCCAATTCAAATTTCTCTTCAGGAATAGGCGAGACATATTCAAAGTTTGGTGTTTTCCTCCAATGAATGTTCCAACTATTGGCAGAGATGGCGTCAAAGAATATCCTTAGATTAGCAATTTCCAAAACACGAACAATGCTTTAGGTTCCACAACAGACTCGAACTCAAAGGGATGCAATAGATCAACCGTGTCTGTACTGTTTAATCTTCTGATTGTCTTCTAAAAGTCTGGCTCTGTCTTCCACCCTGACTGAGCTGCAGACATGTCTCAAAATTGTATTTAATGCAGTTTATTTTTATAAATACCTGCTTGCTTCACTGTCGGTCATCTGCAGTTTTAGGCACTTGTGCCGTAGATAGTTAACTTTGATTCGGTAACAGCATCCACACCCATAAGTGTTTTTGCCAGTCATCCATCATGGTCTTATCTGTTAATTATTAATGTTGAAATCGTTCTATTAAAAGGTTCTTCGGTCTATATAGTCGCATGAGTGCGGAGGAGAAATGTATCATGTTTGGAGTAGTCTCTGATTTGGAAAATTGTTTTCCGTCAAAAAATTTGACTTTGTTGTTTTGAAGTGCATAATCTGTTCATTTTAGATTTTACCTCATTTCTACTTTCTATTCTTTGTTCAAACTGGTTTGGAGGATCCAAAAAGGGTGTTTTATTTTTTTTCTTATTTCATGATCGGTGAGGTTGTGTCAAGTACTTACAAGGTGTTTTTGCACTTCTTCACTTTCCACTATATAGTTATTTACCTTGGATCAAACACACAGACCCACTCTGGCAATGTTTGACTCCGCTCGTCTGTTAGGAATTGTACCTGTTCTTTTCTACAAGTAAGAAAATTACCTATAAATAAGTACTGGGCACAACCCCACTTTAATTTATCCTTCTGTCAAAGCCACGCAGCAAAAACACAAAATCTTGTCAAGTATTTTCGGTCTAGTTTCTGGTGCATATATCTGAAATGAGGCAAAACTATCTTATCAGTCACTTTCCAGGAAGATACAGGATCTTATTTTAAGTCAACAATATTGATGAAACGGTACTTGTTCCATTGGCAGATTATTAAATTTATAATATGGAAAAATGTCTTGTGATAAGTGAAATAATCTGCCAATGGAATTAGAACTTTTTCATCAATATTAAGGAATGACTGCGTTAAAACAAGCTTATATTTCGCTGAAAAGTTACTTTTATGTTAGTTTTGTCTTATTTCAGCTGTACTAAGATATTTGCACTAGAAACTAGACCAAAATTAGTTAAGATTTTGTGTTTTTTGCAGTGCAACCAGACCAACTTTCTCCTTGCTCTTTATTATTGGGTGTTGCTGTTGAGATTATCAGAGAACGAAGTGAGATGTTATCATTTACTGCATGAAAGTTGTTCTAGAAGAGGCTAAAAAAAAAGTTGGAGTGCATAATGTCATTTGTTTTAAGTTGTGCTGTTTGTATGCTTTTTTTTATAATTTCTTTTTTCTGAAAATCATTTGTTTGACTTCAGAGTGATTGTTGAAAATAAGTTTGTGTGATTAAAAAGAAGAAAAACTTATTGTCTGATTGTTCTTAGCAAATCACAACAATGACATACTTCAAAGTTTTTAAATATATTCCCTGTGCAGAATTTTTTATTTTTTTTGGCAACAACAGAGAAATACACTGGACAGCTTGCTGGTGGATCAGAGCAAGACCTGAGAAAGTCAGGACAAACGTGACTGCAATCAAGAGCAACGTACAAAACCTGCACAAAACTTACGGTCCACTTATGTGGCTTTTAAGTCTGACTGATATTGAGCTATTTTGCAAAGAATAGGCTAAATTTCAAGGGACAAAGCTGGTAAAGTCAGATGTAAAATAACTTTCAGCTGCAACCACAGTAGAAGTTGGTTTAATTAAGGGAGGAAAGTTGAATACAAATGAATGACCCAAATGTTGAAATTTTGTTAAAAGTAAATATAAAAAGAAAATCATGTAGAATTTTGTTCAATCGCAAAATCATTTGCTCTGGCTGCTTTATCCGATTAATTGGAACGTCACAAAATGTTTTTCTACGTTTAATTTCATTTTTCCCCCACAAAGAAGAAACCCCTGTTTTCAAAAAAAAAAAAACTACAAAAGCTGCTGCTGTTAAAACGTTTCTCTTTCTGTTTTCAAACATACGTTAATCATGCAAAAAATAAAAAAAAATAAAATGTTAATCCTAGTTCTGCTCAAATCAATAAAAAGTGAAGAACTAAACGAGGCTAAAATTCTCTCTTAGAAGGCGGAGCCTGAAAGCGAGCGTGTTTCCTTCCGGGTTGCCGTAGAGCACCTAAATGTGGCTTTTCGCGCTATAACTTGAGAGTACATTTAGTTGGCCGCGTGTTTAGGAGATTTCCCCAAGTGGATAACTGGATTTACGGTCGGTATGCATATGTCACTTATCTTCAAAAATAGTTCATCTTTCACAATTTCGATATAACTTTGTAGCTTTACTAAAGAGAACTTACAGAATGCATGCTGATTGTGCATGGTTGCATCTCTAACAATGACTCTTTAAGTGTTATTACCCTGCAAGGTTCGCAGCTCTATTGTTGTATATTCGGCTAGCTAAAGAATAGACATACCTTTTGCCAGGTGCACTGTATTATCTTCCTTGTGTGTTTTTAGTGCATCATTGCTATGATATTTATTGCATAGTATAGAAATGCTTGAACTTTCCACTCGGACATAATGTTAAAGTTTATAAGCTAACGGTAAATATAAATAGGCGAAACTTGTAGCTAACTTAGGTTAGCACAGCGGCTTACCTTTGTAATGCTATCAAGAGTTGCCTGGCTAATGAGCTAACGCCGGATGCTAGCAAGTTTATTTCAATACGGAGAAGGCCTCACAATATCAATATCAATTTGTTCCCCTTTTCAGCATCTATAGCTGGCTACCAAAAAGCTAGTTGTTTTACATATATTTATATAAACGTATTAATCAAGCCGACTTGATGCTAATAATGTGATGCTAATCCCTCCTCCTTGTTTATAGAGCACAAAATGGGCAAGAAACAAAACACCAAAACTAAGAAGGAAGCGCAGACTCAGGAGGAGCCGGAGGAGTTTGTTGTGGAAAAAGTAATGGACCAGCGCATCGTCAATGGGAAAGTGGAGTTCTACCTGAAGTGGAAAGGATTTACTGAGTGAGTTTCCCTGTGATAATAAATATCCCTTCTCTGGCTGAACTGGAAGTGCTTCCCTGGTACGGGGTTGTGCTGTACATTTGGATGCATGTTTGTGCTGCCATTCTTTACCGTGCATGGATAAAGTTTGCTTTCAGGTTTCGGCATCTGTTCATGGAAGTTTTGAGTTGGGGAGAAGAAAAAAAAAAGTCCTCCCCCTTCCTGTCTTTGTTCATTTAGTGCTGACAACACTTGGGAGCCCGAGGAGAACTTGGACTGCCCCGAACTGATTTCAGCTTTTCTGGAGTCGCAGAAAAACATCAAAGAGAAGCCTTCGGCTGTGAAGAGGAAGGCTTCCAGAGAGGAGGGAGAAACTGATTCTGCAAAGAAAACTGAGGTTGGTTTAAAAAGAAAAAGAAAAGAAAATTCCTTGTTTTAACCAGCTGAGTTTGTGGTCGTTTAATGGTCTACATTTATTTCTGGACTATGTCAAAGACTCATAACTTCATCATTGCTATTTTCTTTTAAGGTGTGAGTAGCAAGAAAATGTTCCATTCTCATCTTATGCTGTGGTTTTGCAGACTGAGCAGCCACGTGGCTTTGCCAGAAACCTCAACCCAGAAAAAATAATTGGTGCCACGGATAGCAGTGGGGAGTTGATGTTCTTGATGAAATGGTAAGCTACTAAGGATTCCTATAAATGTCACTAAGGACTGCTTGAAGACATTTTTTTCTTTTTCTTTTTTAGTTTAAAATGTTTTGCTCTCAAGCAAAGATGTTTGTTTGCATGGATGTAAAATGTTAAAAATCCTCTAAATTGAGCTATTCCGAATCCAGGCTGTTTCCTGCAAGGTGTCCAAAGTATTTTAAGAGCCAGAATTCTGCATGTTTTCATTCTTTCCCTGGTTTATCGCACCTGAATCAAATGATGGTTCACTACCAGACCTCTGTAGAACATTGACATGCTGAGGAAATGGTTGGAAATATTTAGATGCTCAGAGATGCATCTAAAACTGACACTGGAGCTAGAAACCCCTTCTGCAAGGGATGGCTAGTTATGATTTTTAAGGGGATCACAGTAGTTTTTAACTGTGTAACAAAGAATTGTATCTGTCTTTACATTTATTATTAGTGGAAATTGTCTCCACTGACTGACTTTAATGGATTTTTTTTTTCTCTCTCCTCTTCACCTGCTTTCTCAGGAAAGACTCGGATGAAGCAGATTTAGTCCCAGCCCGTGAGGCCAACACGCGCTGCCCTCAGGTCGTCATAGCTTTTTATGAAGAGCGACTGACATGGCATTCATGTCCGGAGGATGAAGCTCAATGATTCTTCCCTCTAGTTTCTGCTGTTTTTTTTTTTTTTTTCTTTTTTTTCCTCTCTCTCTCTCCATGAAGACTCGACTCCTCCTCCTGGTCTGCCTCTGAATTTTAGCTACCTTTAGACTGTTTTGTAGCGTTTCCTACATTTGTACTTTGTTTGGCAGCAGAGGAGAGCTTTTACGGCTGTGTGAAGTAACCGAGCAGCTGATGTGTGCGACCGAGTTCATCCAAATGTCATGTTGCGACAGAGCTACCTTGCATCTCATGCCTGCTCTCAAATGTCTTAAATTTTGACTACTTGAAACATGTTAAGCTGTTAATTGAGCTTGTTTTTGTTTTTTATCCTGCAAGTTGTTCTGAAATTCCATTTTGTTTATGAAGTGTAAATGCTATCCCCAGTTCCAATTAAAACTTTTATGTACATATTTATAGCTCTGTTTATTTTTGACCCCCCATCTACATATGCATACATGACAAGAACAAGAAAATAAATTGCAAATCTTTATGCCTTTTTGCAATTTCCTCTAGTTGTGTGACCTTTTCTTACAGGGCAGCCTTGTGGATATTAAATCCAAACCGCCATTAAGAGGCACAAGAGATGAACTTTAGACTTTTGAGCATAATGTTGGGCCTTCTGTGGCAACACCTT